CTGTCATGAATAACGTTTTATTATTATTATATATGGATTTATGATTCGTAAATATCCTAGACTTTATTTTATGATGTAATAATGGACCTCCACATTTCCTGTACCTGAGATCACAAGGGTACGAAGGACAAGATCCGAGTCATCTAGAGAGCTGGGTTGGATTCAGACAAGGTAGTTTTAGCTTCGAACGCTACCATTCTACCATTTGTTGCATTTTTCTTACGGTTTTCTTAATTAGAGTAGAGAGTACTTTACTCTATGTTTTATGGGCTAGTGTTTTTATTTATTTATTAAAGTACATAACATCGTATATAATTCATTTTCTACAGTAAATGTTCCAATCTATTTATTCTGAAACACATGACAATTATGGTGAACATAAATGTTACCAATGTTTTTAAAAAATAATATAAATTTTAGTTTTCACTACTAACATTTTAAAAGACTATTGGATTATTATTATTATCACTACTAGATTTTTTAAATTTTATTTATATTTTAATTATTATTACAGCTTAGGTTACGGTTATATTTTAATTTATGTATAATATTTAAGACTTAATAAATATAACTTATGTAAAATGTAAGTAAACTAATACTTTATACATATAATTATCTTATTACGAATCATGATATTAGTATGATGTATATATTTAATACTTTTTAGACCATTTATCGGCCATATTTTTTGTTAGTAACACTGTCCTTCCGTCGCGTGATTTATAGAAAGCGAGCGTTCAACAAATATGGTGACAATGAGATAATTATACATTTGTGCTAATTGCGTTTTAATTTGTATTTGTTTAGGTTATTTGGTTCAGTTTTTAAGTTTCCTCCATACGAAACATAGGGCAGTGCTGACATAGTGGCGAATCTCATCCCTGAGGACGCACGCATGGAGTTTATATGTGCGCATTTAACATTCGCTCGAACGGTGAAGGAAAACATCGAGAGGGAACCGGCTTGCCTTAGACCCAAAAAGTCGACGGCGTGTGTCAGGCACAGGAGGCTCATCACCTATTTGCCTATTAAATTGACAAATGATCATGAAACAGGTACATCAATCTGAGGCGCCACTTATTTATTTTTTATACGATAAATAATTGAAAACAAAGGAAAAGAGAAATGAACTGTAGATAAAGGAAAAATTATGTTACGTGCGTGATAAAGCGATTCGACGCGTTCTTTAAACGCCAATATTTTACAATGTTAAAACCATTAATAACAATACACATTAATGTTCGAAATATATATAACAAGTTAATTTGGAAATTGTTTATATATGATTCAACATATAAGAACAATCAATCTTTAGTCTTAGGACTAACGGCATAGGGTTGAGGTAAAATAAATGCCATCAAAAATAGAACAAGAATCCTCGCAATTTGTAACGTTAAAAATTATGAGATCCATATCGTAATAAAAAAAAAATTTGTTGCGCTACAACCTCTAGGTCTTGGCCTCAGATTTCTGAATCTGTTTCATGATCATTTTTAAATCAAATAGGCAAGTAGGCGATCAGCCTCCAGTGCCTGACACAAGCCGTCGACTTTTTGGGTCTAAGACATGTCGGTTTCCACACGATGTTTTCCTTTACCGTTCGAGCAAATGTTAAATGCGCACATAGAATGAAACTCCAATGGTGCACAGCCGGGGATCGAACCTACGACCTCAGGTATGAGAGTCACACACTAAAGCCACTAGGCCAACACTGCTCCATGTAATACCAAGTCGGTTATTCAGTCCCTACTCAAGGGACCTTCTGACTTGGGTTATTACGTAATTAGTGAACCTAACAAATCTTATTGTGGCAATATCGATATTTTTTATGTTATCGATAAATTGATTAACTAACCATAACGATTCAAGAACAAAGTGTCAGGCACAGTATACTATAAACGAAAGTGAATCTGCAATCTTTGACTTATGTATATGGATATCAGGATCTCTTTAAAAATAAATAACACCACATGTGGGTCACATTCCAAAATTAAAATCCCGAATTTGCATTTTCCAGCGTAACGAGAAAACTGGCTAGTTCATTTGGTGGGATTATCAGTACATTAATTTATATTAGGAATCTATTTCTACCCCCTTAGTAGTGAATTGCACCGGAAGTTTTGAGGGTAATAGTTATGCCGTTGAGACCCCGTTAGAATGCGAGAGCGAGCCCAGAGAATCTCTGACGTGGGTTTATAGGATCCCGGTGGTTTAAGTGGGTATTGCTCACCCAGTCTCTTAATAGCAGAGGTTGAGGTAGAGGAGGTCACCCGGGTTCTGATGTGGTCCCCCATTCCCGTGCAAGGCAAGGTCTATAATTACCTATTAAATTATTTATTTAATAAATATGTGTTTCGCACACATACTAAACTCCTACACATTTCATACATCACTCGGATGACCCTTTTTTTTCTCTTTAGTTACAAAAATGTTTAAAACCACGAATAAAAGCGTAAATTAAATCATAGGCAGCATAAAATTATATTTTTAAAATACCAACCGGATTGGTTATGCTAGATTTGAATATAACAAGTATTATAATTTTATACAAATATTCACCAAAGGCAAGCTCGTTTACGGTATAGAAGCCCAGGGCAAGACCCAACGAAATTTTATTATTTGTTAATCTAAAAACCCCCCCGGTTGGCAGAAACAGAAACGTATAGAGAATCAGAAAGACCACATCGATTATGTGCCCTAATGGGTAGTTTAAAAATGTAAACGAACGAATTCAACGTGAATTAAAATAATGTAAGCTTTATCATTTCCCTGGGTAACGAAACCAGGATCCTTTGGTTACACGCCGTTAACTATGCTGTGATAGTTCAAAATAGTTTGTTGATGAGTGCGTCGTTAAAAGTGTAATACACTTTTAATTAATTAAAAATTAAAAAGTTACAAAACTAATTAAGTCGTAATGCAAACGTTGGGTTAGAATTAAAATGGCCATACTTTCCCTAGTTAAATATTTTCAGTTTTAAACATTTATTAATTATACAATCGATTTTAATTAAATTCACAAAGTTTATAAAAGATTTTAATAATATAATCGTTTAATGTGGGTATAATTACTGTGGGTATTCTGAATATAAAAACAAATTTTAAAAAACTCACCAAAAAGTTTAATATTAATCACTGCCATTTTTCACTGTAATAATATACCTAATAAATTAAATATCACTTCATACTGTGACAATATTATTGTTAAGTGTACAGCAAGACGCGCGGATAGATTGAGAGTGCACGTTTATATGTGATGCGCGGGCGCCGTTTACAGCTAGTTCAAACTTAACCCTGCGAAACGGACGTAATTTTGTCAACAAACTTGAAAAAAAAAAGCAACCGATTTACATTGTTTCCGTGTTAGTTGTTTGATAATGGACAAGTCTATTTCGTCACGTCACAAGTCACGTAATGGGACTGACACCTTTATGCTGCTGTTTATCTTTTTTTTACGAACGCTAGTAGGTGATTGAGCCTTCTACACATCCATAGCCATACACATCGTTAAATTTTACACGCTTTATATTAGCTTCACCTGTATGTATGTATGTATGTAACAGACTCCTTCAGACTCGATTTTGACCCACTTTTAACGGACAGATTTAATTCAAACTTTGCGCACCTGTCAAAGATCGATGACAATGCAATAATCCGAAAAAAAAAATGAAAAAAAAAAATAAAGAAAATTTAACTAAAAAATAAATAATAGTTTAAAAAAACTAGAACACACGCTTTAAAAGCACATCAAACTAAAAAGTGAAAAATAATCCCTAATTTAGGCTGAAAATGGTAATGAACAAAAAATTCTGGTAGGTATTATTGTGAAAAAGCGTGGGGCGCTCTGTGCCATATTTTTCGTCTATCAAGCAACCCACGCTTTTTCACAATAATACCAGAATTTTTTGTTCATTACCATTTTCAGCCTAAATTAGGAATTATTAAATCTCAAACGTGCCGGTGTTTTCACAATGATTTCTACACTATTAATTACCTACACGTAGTAACCGTATAAACATTAATTTCATAGTTTAGAAGCACTTATTTATCGATGCTACTGATACGGGGAAAGACTGTTGATGTAATAGTAGATTAAAATTTGTAATAATAGTAGAGATTTGTATGAAATATCTGGGAGATTACCATAAATAACTTCAGAACATAACCTACAAGTGATTAATCTGCTAAAAAAGGTTCCTTATAAACTAATATAAAAAGTCATAATTATCTATATATTATAGAAATTAAATATCAATAGTATTTGCTCCTTCAAAATTTTGGTATGCATTAATATTAACAAGTTTGTCTAATTATTACTGAGCGTCAAGATAATTAAAATATGTAATTGTAAATATTATTTCTAAAGCGGCGGGCTTTTAACAGAAATGCCATGTCCCCCGTCACCGTCAAAACTGCTAGTGCCACTGTCTGCTGTCATCGTTCATAGTCAATGTCAAAAACTTCATAAAGTCCGTCTCACAGAAAAGGTCTTCTGAGAGTGGCGCTAGTTTCTACATGATTTCGTATTTTGCCTTAATATTCTTTAGTTCTTTAAAAATCCGTCAACCATTTTTGTCAGTCGGATTATGTTGTGATAAAAAATATTAAATTTAAAAATATCAAAACCTATGCGCTACACAGAAAATCAGTTATCATTATTAAGATCTGCCTATGTAGACTATTCTTGAAATTATATATTTGGTCATTCCAGATACATAAATCTTATAACAAGGTATATAATTTGTTATTTCATTTGTATCCTTATTTGCATAGACTCAGGGTATAAAGTTTAATTTCTTAGTGGTGGGACAGCTATAAAGTTCAGTAGGTTTTATTTTTACTTAGTTTATCTAAAATTGTTTATCGCTAACTACATGACAACTGTACTTTTAACTTGATAGTTTGATATTTTTATTATTATGTTTTTAGGACGTGTACTTCGCAGTACCCCAATAATACTTAGGAGATATCTTCACGTTTCGCAAAAGTTTAATCAAAATATGGGCATTGATGGAAATAATATATTGGCTGAAAGCTTAAAGCGACAGGTGAGTATTTCCGCATAATTTTAACTTCTGCACCATGGACTTTAATGTTCAATCTTTCATCAAATGTTTAACAAATAACTTTTCAGGGAATAGAATATGTGTTTGGAATAGTTGGTATTCCAGTAATAGAAACATCCCTGGCATTTCAATCTGTTGGAATCAAATATGTAGGTATGCGGAATGAACAAGCAGCAGCTTATGCAGCCCAGGCCATTGGATATCTCACAGGTATTTTAGAATTTCATATATTTTTTTTCCAGTATGCTTTTATTTAAAAAATGTGCATGATATTATATTTTCAATGTAATAACACAATTATCATAATCTCTGTAATTAACAAGATAATAGAAACTAGATATAAATTTGATTAACATTTAATAATAATAGTAAAAAAATGCAGGTAGATGATAAGCTATATAGCTAAAATTAAATAACAATATGATCTCTCTAATTTAATTAATGTATTTATTTAAAAATGTTAGATTTAAATTAATTTATTCACTTCAAGTAAGTTTTTCAGGTTATTATCTCTGAAATTTAAAAAATACAAAATTATTATTATGTACTTCATAAATATATTATGATTTTCGTAACCAAATAAATTGTATTTAGTAGTAGAGGGCACAAAAAAATAAGATAAATGACAAAAAATACATGATTTTCGTAACCAAATAAATTGTATTTAGTAGTAGAGGGCACAAAAAAATAAGATAAATGACAAAAAATACAGAAAGCAATATTGCTATACAGTCTATACTAAAGTTTAAATTCCATTGACACAATATTTTATTTGGGTTATAAGACACAGAAAGCTTATCACTGTGGTCACCTCACAGCTTTAACATATTGTTTTTACACCGAAAGCAGATTACTTAAATTAATGAAATAAATAAATCCTTTTCTTATTTGACAGAAAAATCAACAAACTTAATTGTAATTTTAATAACTTCAGGGAAGCCAGGAGTATGTCTTGCTGTATCAGGGCCAGGCCTTTTGCATTGCATTGGTGGAATGGCAAACGCTCAAGTGAATTGTTGGCCACTGTTGGTTATTGCTGGCTCTTGTCCTGAAGATCATGAAGGCATCGGGGGATTCCAGGAATGGCTGCAGGTAGGAGTTGTATAAAATGGGCAGGCTCACTTAATGTAAAATTTTGGGAGGGAGATGGAAATACATATTTATAATAGCAATATCCATAATAAATTATATATATTTTTCAGAGCAAAAATAACTATCTGTGCATAGATGTATTTTATGTGTTTCTTTCAAATTCTTTAAAGCATTTGTACAAAATGTTTGAAATTTTTAATATAATTTACAAGACTGACATCAGATGTTTAAATTCTTAGGCTTAAGAAATATATTATTCTACTCTTTTATATTGACCATCAGTTACTTCTATAAAGTAGCGAATAAACAATTAATTTGATAATTACTTTCTGTTGGTGAGAAATAGTCAGAAGTCAAAAGTCAAAAATAATTTATTCATGTAGGTAACACAATGTACACTTATGAACGTCAAAAAAATAAAAATACATTAAATGCTTCTCATTTTAAATTTACATAAATAGAATATTGTTAATTATTTTGGGTAGTTACTCCGTCATTGTGTAATTACGTATTAATTAATTGCCTACGTAATGATAAGATGGAAATTAAAAAATATTTTATTTCAGAAATATTGTCCTAATCAGTAGATTAGATAAAAAGCTTAAATGTGATTATTTTTTACTACTATTACATAAACTGGTATTTGATTGAGGGTTCAAAACTTATTAAACAATAGTTAAGAATGCTTGCAACAAAACATTAAACAAAATTACACATTTTCGAATAAATGATTTATATTAAAAAAATAGGTTAATTTAAATTCCAATAGATAATACTTTCATTTATATATTATTATCGCTACATTTTTAATTTTCTATTCCGTTGTGAAGTTTTTTTTTAAATTAATATGTAACGGTTGATTAAGTGAATGTTTCACCATAAATTCAGTTTAGTTTATTTAGTATAAAACTACATATTTATATTTACAATATTATGCATCTACCAACATGTATGTGGATTTCTATGGTAAAATTTGAACTATAAATTTCTAAAACAAACTCAGTTGATAATACTGAAAATTCAAAACAGGATAGAAATTCATATCACAAATATTCACTAGAGAAACGCATGTTTGCAACACAAATCAGAGTAACTCCAAAAGTTTCAACAGCACCAGGTGTACCGCATGCGCTGTGATGTGACTTTTGGCGCCATTCGCACTAGTTATACATAATATCGTGATTCCGTTTAGTTATACATATTATCGTAGAGTGTTTTAATCCTAATTCGAATGTTTATTTAAAAAAAAACAGATATAGTTGTGATCATATAATAGGACATGAATAAAATAGACAAACAACTACACCATTGACAAACTATGTTTTTTTTTTATTGTTGCGTCATATATTATGAATGAACTAAAAGTTGGTGCCTCAAAACCACAGTACGAATTTTAAATTATAAACTAAAGAGTTAAAAACAAAACAATTAATCCAAAAAAACATTACAACAAAGAATAAAAACGTAATAATTGTATAATCTGTCAACTAATTTAATTATACAAAAAATTCTCGTTAATGCTTTTCCCACTTATTGTTTAAAGAACTTTATTTCTCATTACAAAAATTATTTTTTTTATTTACATGAGAAATTTAATATTAAGTATATATACGAACGAGATACACGTCGCCATCAGCTAGCCCAATTCTAGTCTAATGGGCCCATTCTGATGTGTGTCTTTAATGCCCTTTTGAACTGATCAATCACGCTAATGTTACGAAGCTTAGACGGCAACCGATTAAACAATTGCACACCCTCATACCTAATAGATCTCTTTAAATAATTTGTGCGCGGCTTTGGCAAGATAAGCAAACTCGCTCGACGAGTATTGCGTGTAGTGGTGTATTTGATTTTATTAAATGATAAGTTACTATGTAGAGAGTTATTTAAAAATTTTTTTAATAAGGATACAGGTGCTATAAACATATAGTTGTTTAATCGTCATAATTTTAGTTTCTTGGTAGATTTTATTAGTAGGTGTTAAAAAATTGTATCTGAATAGTGCTAGTAATTGTTGTGTACAAACATTATGATACCTAAACCTAATTCCGCTTAAATATTGTTATAGGTGGAATCCAGCCGTCTTTATTGCAAATACGCGGTGAGACCTCCATCACCGAAGCTGATTCCTTTACACGTCGAAAGAGCTGTTCGGAGCGCTTGTGCTGGCCGACCGGGTGTCGCATACCTCGATATGCCGGCTACTCTACTAACGGTAAGCTTCTAGAAGATATAAAAATGTGTGCGTGTACTAGGTGTACACACGTAAGAAGTGAAACTTCTATATGATCTTATTTTTCGAAAAATGATCTACTATATGCAACTTTACAGAAATTGGTTAAATAAAGTTAAATTAGATAAAGTTTAACAAAAGGCTTTTATTATCATAGACATGAATACAAATACAATTATTTCATTTTAACTTATTACTGTACTACGTTGTAGTACTAAGATTATTACAGAATTTCATTAATTGTAATAGAATTATTAGTATTACTATCATTGTTATCGTTATTATATATTTTTGTTACTAATGGCTTCGAATCTCTTCGGATCAACCGTGGTAGGGACAAGAAAAAAATGGCGCGCAACCGAAAAATGTGACAAATGTGTGTAAATTTTTTTTCCAACGCCGATAAAGAAGTTTGACTTCAAAAAGCAACATGGCGCGTAACCTGCTACAAAATTTCTACCATACGTCGATAAAGAAGTTTCACTTCAAAAGATGGCGCGTAACGGAAAAATGTGACGCGTAACGAAAAAATGTTACACTAAATTTTTTTTCCCACCCCGATAAAGAAGTTTCACTTCAATTATTCATTTCCTTAACACGGATCATAAAATGCGCATTAATAGATACGTCAGTGGATTTGGGCTCGCGCAAGGTTAAATAATTTTCTGTGTTCAGATAACTGTTACGTCATAGCACGACAGTAATCTACGTGTGAGACCGTATAAAACGTGGTTTTTAAAAGCGTTTTGGTGTAAAAAATTGTAAATAATCAAAAATTTATCAAAAATAAATTATTACAAACATTGATTTTTATAAGTGACAGTGATATGATACATTGATTTGGATTGGTGCGACGCCATTATACATAGAAAAGCATTTTTGACGACGCATTGGTCTAGTGGTTAGTACCCCTGACTGCGAATCCATGGGTCCCGGGTTCGTTCCCCGGCTGAGACGAACATCGATGTGATGAGCATTTGGTGTTGTGCTTAGGTCTTGGGTGTTTAAATATGTATTTATATGTCTATCTATCTATAATATGTATGTATATCCGTTGCCTAATACCCATAACACAAGCTTCACCAGCTTGTGTTATGTGCATGGGACTCGGTCAATTGGTGTGAATTGTCTTAAAAAAAAAAAATCGCGGGTAAAATTCTGAATGTTAATAACCAAAAACAGTTATAAAAATAAGTATATCCTGTACATTATTTTATACTCACTAATAAATAATCTAAATTAATTTGTTGAATTTCAGGCAGAGGTGGATGAAGATAAAGTACCTTTGGACTTCTATAACGCCGGCCCGTTGACTCTTGCGCATCCCGATCCGAGTTTAGTAGATCGCGCTGCGGAGGTACTATCGAAGGCAGAGCGTCCTCTGGTGATTGTAGGCAAAGGAGCGGCTTATGGAAGAGCAGAGGAGCCTATACGGAAGTTGGTGGAGAATACAAAAATGCCCTTCCTGCCTACGCCTATGGGTAAGATTTTTTTTATTACTCACTCATATTCTGTTATGATAGCCTAAATAGATATGTCAGAGATCTCACTTTTAATCACAATCTACTAGACTCCACTGAATACTCATCAGAGTACAATCAATACTGTCATGCATTCCCTGAACCAGTGTCCAAAGGCAAGCTGGCGCCTCGACCCCACTCGAGATATTTTCGCTGCTCTGATTGGTCATAACAATAAAAGTGATACATATTTATTTTCAACACCAATATAGAGTAATTACATTTTTGGAATTTTTATTTTTTATTATTAGGGAGCGTTCAAGTATTACGTCACGCAATTTTTAGAGATTATTGACAATCCCCCCCTCCTCCTCGCTTTATTGCTATACTTATTCGTTCAGCGAGGACTATCTACCTGACTAATGGACTCCTAAACTACTTAACCGATTTCAATCAAATTTGCCCACCGTGTGCAGTTTGATCTAACTTAAAAGATAGGATAGCTTACATATATATATTATTCTTAAGAAATGAACCTTTGATTTTGTGTATTTGTTTCGTTTGACGTAAATACATATTTGTGTATAATACAGATTTAAAAAGCTACCCACTATCGGTTTGTATTTAAAGGTAAGGGCGTGGTACCGGATGAGTCGCCATACTGTGTGTCGACTGCTCGTACGCAGGCCTTGCTCAAGGCAGATGTGGTACTTCTCCTCGGGGCTAGACTTAACTGGATGCTTCACTTCGGTCAAGTGCCACGATTTGCGCCGGATGTCAAAATTATTCAGGTTTGTTTTTTTTATTTATCTTTATGTCTTACAGTAAAATAATAGTACACATAGAATGTATACACATGAATATAATTGAGGACCTGACCTCAGCGTGAGGCTGATATACCTGAGGTCGTAGGTTCGAACGGCTTTGCACCAATGTGCGCATTTAACATTCGCTCGTACGGTGATGGAAAACTTCATGACGGCATGGTCATAAGAAAAAACAAATGATCTCGAAACAGATACAAAAATCTGAGGCCCAGATCTAAAAGGTTGTAGAAACCACTGGATTTTAACAAGTGTCATGTCTTAAATCCAAAAAAGAATGGCATAAGTGAGACAAAAGGCTGATCACTTACTTGCCTATTGGAAAAACAAATGACCTGTGGACCTAAAAGGTTGTAGTGCTACTGGATGTTTTTAGTCAAGATGTGTACTACACTATTAAATGTGTGTTTCAAAAATCCTTTTGTCTGACGAAACAAGTTTTTCCTAAATCTAACCCAGGCGCTCTAGTCTATTTCCATGATATTCCTATTTCCTAGACTTTGGCCCGTATTTCAAAACCTGAATGAAACGATAGTAAGGATGTTACCATACAAAAATGTAATTCTTGAAGCATTCATATTTACAAGACACTACAAATACACAAATAATTTAAAAAAAATTCAAAGACCAATCAATCAAAATACGTTTATTCCGTTTAGATGCGTCTTAGGGCATGCTTATGAATGTCAAAAACGTTACAAAATTCGCGAAAGAGCAAGACTACGCCATCCGTTCGCAAAACTACCAGTTAAAGTTACATAATTTAAAAAAATCTGTTCTGTGATTTACCACATTTTTTTCAACCATTTTCATAGTGTTAGTTTTTTTTTCTGATTTAAAGTAAAATATATCATATCGCCGGTGTACGCTATTACTTGATCAAAGTCCATTGAAAACCTTCCCGTATTCGGAACAGGTCCATAATTTCACAACTGTCAAAAAATGGAGTTCGCCATATTTTTCCTACGTTTAATTTCTTATAACAATTTCAGGTGGATATATCACCAGAGGAATTCCACAATAGTGTAAAGTCTGAAGTCGCTGTACATTCCGATATAAAACCGTTCGTAGATGCGCTCGCGCAGAAACTTGCGAATAAGAAGTTTTCTCTGCAGCCAAGTGGTGGCTGGTGGCAGGCACTTAAGGAGAAACAGAAGAAGAACACTGAATTTGTCGAGGTAAGAACATTCCTATTCAAAATTGCACTCTTTCGTCTCTTTCTCTTTCTCTCAAATTGTATTTAAGCCGTGATGAAGAGAGATAGACTAGCTACGGTGCCTTTGCACTGATTTATTTTTTTATGAAATACGTAAAGCAAAGATGTATCGAAAAAATGTGACGTAATTTTTCAAAATGTTTGCGATTCTAAATAAATAATAATATTATAAAATTGTAAGAAAACAAAATTGTATAACAAAGTCACGGAGCGCACTGCTTTTACTACTTCCGTGTAACCTGCGCGTTAGCACACATGGATTGGACGATACCAGTTGTAGTAGCTTAGTATCGATAGACGATACAATTATCGTATATTATTAAATATATCCAAAATCCATTGTTCCTAAATTTCTAATATTAGTTCTTACTATTTATTTTTTATTTGAACCACAAAATTAGGTCAAACACGGCCCTAAAATCAGTGGCGATATCGGGACAAATATCGATCGAATACACTTACATATTAAAATGGTGCCATCCCTATATGTAGATACGAAAAATTTACAATTATTTCCAGGCTCAAGCAAACGACAAATCACTTCCGTTGAACTACTACGCCGTATTCAAGACTGTGCAGGCGCATATACCTAAAGATTCTCTCATAGTGAGTGAAGGAGCGAACACTATGGATATCGGGAGAGGGATGCTCCTGAATAATCTCCCGAGACATCGGCTGGATGCCGGCACTTTTGGCACTATGGGGGTAAGGTGTTTCCAAGCTTACTTCATAATTAATAATAATAATAAATAATAAAAACTTTATTTATGACAAAAGGGTTGTGACAGAATGCATATATCGCTAGTCCCCACAGTAGGGAGGCCGTGGGTAACTAAAAAACAATTATTACGTGGTACATGTTTAAAACAGTTTAAAAAAAAGATAATAATAAAAAAAATGTAGTGTTACAAATTAAACGAATGAGTGAGTGTGTGAATGAATTTTTAACAGATCTACTTTGGGAGCGTTCAAGTATTACGTCACGCAATTTTTGGAGATTATTGATTCCCCCCTATTTAACGCGCCGTAACGTTTTTCTGTACCCAAGTATAGTAAAACGTTTCGTGACCACCTAGTGACTCTTTATACCTAAAAGTTACCATTAAAGTGTAAAAGTACTGAAAAGTCGAAAATAATATTAACAATAACGGCTTAATTCAATCCCTGCCCCGCATCGTAACGTTGTACAAAAGGACCTCCCTCCCCCCCAAAATTCGTTACGTAATACTCTCCCTTTAGAAATAAGGTTTTTAACAAACAAACATACTTTTGCAGAAATATATATAATAAAAGTGATTTGTACTAATTTGGTTTTTCTTAAGGTGGGTCCGGGCTTCGCAGTTGCAGCGGCCATGTGGTGTCGGGACCACGCACCTAACAAACGCGTAGTTTGCGTCGAAGGCGACTCCGCCTTTGGATTTTCAGGTATATTCAAAGTTCACTAATCTATTTGTATCAATTATTGTTTTTTATAAGCTTTATTTCTCGGGCTTCGAATCCGGATAACACTGCTATATCATTGTCATTTCAGGTATGGAAATCGAAACGATGTTCCGTTACAAACTGCCTGTCATTATCGTTATTGTTAACAATAACGGAATATACAGCGGATTTGATAAAGAAATGATGGAGGATCTACAGGGGAGCGGTGATGTCGCACAATGGTAATTATTTTTATTATTTGTAGTAGAATAACTTATACTTATGAATCTTATTGGTCTTAGATCCATATGATCTGTATCTTAAGTCACAGTCAAGTCTTGAACGCTGTCAAATGTCACACTTCATACAGAAATAATGGTTTGACAGCTCGTGAAACTAGGTTTTATTTTGACGTTCTAGAATGTAATATGTAAATTTGTTTCATGTCATCGTAGACAGAAAAAAATATAGTTAGTTTCCACCCCAATAATATAAACTTTTTTTAACTATGTATATATGTAGTACGACTCGACTCGACTGCGAATCCATGGGTCCCGGGTTCGATCCCCGGCTGAGACGAACATCGATGTGATGAGCATTTTTGGTGTTGTGCTTAAGTCTTGGGTGTTTAATTTAATTGTTAAATATGTATTTATATGTATATCCATTGCCTAGTAGCCATAACACAAGCTTCACCAGCTTAGCATGGGACTAGGTCAATTGGTGTGAATTGTCTTAAAAAAATAATAATAATATGTATATCATACATATCTCAAAAATTACTGAACCAATTTAATGGATTGTTCTGTTAATTGGAATCATCTCGATAACGACTTATCTAATCTATTTTGAGAAATTTGTGAACACACACACACACTTCATAGAACATGTATTTAAAAGCTTAAATATATCATCACGCTAAATTGGTACCTAATTCCAATTTCACCTCATTTGTTGAGTCGATTAAAAATAAAACCTCATTCCTGGATTGGCTACTTCAATTCATCCTTTTTATTTTCAAATTAATTTACAATAATATTAATGAATATAATAACGAAGTGACACCTATTTTGGCGAGATTGGATAAATAACTGTTTATTCTCAGCACGCCACCAACCGCTCTATCCAGCGAAGTGAGATATGAAAAAATGATGGAATTGTTCGGTTTTTCTGGACATCTCTGCCGCACCACTCAAGAGATTGAGGCCGCACTTAAGGAAGCCGTCAAAGTGACAGATAGGCCCAGTATTATTAATATTCTAATCAATCCACAGGCGAACAGGAAACCGCAGACATTTAATTGGCTTACTGAGTCCAAATTGTAAATTTTTAATTTTAATTAATTTATTATTATTATATATTATTATTATAAAATTAAATTTTTAATCGAAGTTGCCGTTAGAAAAAAGTATGAGACTATCACTGTCTTACATTACACTGCTTTACGGCTTAGTGGTCATCAACCAACCCCGACCCAGAAGTCCTTGTTTAAATTCTGTCAAAATAGTTGTTTTGAGTAAGGGAGCGTTCAAGTATTACGTCACGCAATTTTTGGAGATTATTGACCCCCCATGTAACGCGCCGTAACGTTTTTTTGTACCCAAGTATAGTAAAACGTTTCGTGACTCATTATACCATAAGTTACCATTATGTGGTGTAAAGTACTGAAAAGTCGAAAATAATATTAACAATAACGCGTAATTCAATCCCCGCCCCGCATCGTAAAGTTTTACAAAAGGACCCCCTCCCCCCCAAAATTCGTTACGTAATACTTGAACGCTCCCTAAGGCGCAGAAGGCTGATGTTACTTCTCTATAACAAAACATGTTACCCCATTGAGCGATAAAAGATTTTAAACAATAACAAATAATACAAAAATAATTTCAAAATGGGACCAATTTTAGAGTATATATTTTTGTTTTTATTGAACATTGAATACACTAAGGAGTAGGGATACTTATAAGGAATGTTACTGGTCATAAAAGTTTCACAAGTTGAAAAAAGTTTGATGTAAAATATGATCCAAAGCGCACTTAGACTGTTCGACTTATTACTTTCGGCCTTTTTATAAAACATTTAAAGTTCCGTTCATATCGAAAAATATCGTAATGATAACAATATTTTCAATCCAATTAAGCCGATTTGGTATATAATAAGTAAATTAAAGACTTGTATATACCGTTATTTTAATTTCTTAAGTGCATTCTACAATTGCCAATCGAACAAAGTAATTTTTTTTTAATATACTGTATGGTTAAATGGTGCTAATTAGGTAATATTTTTAAATAAATAACTAAATTTATGGAATATCCTCGACTCCAAAAAAAATTACTTAACCACACATTTGAATCATTAAATAGTTTGGAGTGGAGAATTATCCATAAGCTTAGATATATTTTGGTTTGGGTATAAATAATACACAAGGTGTAGGTTTAAGGATAACTTTTATATTGTCTGTCTATTGAGTCGTTTTACATCACGTTTGTATATGTTGAACTTAAAATTATATAAATATATTATTTGTTATAAACTAAATCCCTGTATTTTCATTAACTTCACTGTAAGCAAATGAATCGGCTGTGATTGTATGATCCAAAGCAAACTGAATTTATTATCTCCTCTTAAACTTTGCTGAGGCAGCCAATCAAGAAGTTTTCTATCACAGTTTGTGCTGAAACAATAAACTAATTAATTTCATAATTTATTTAAGTGGTGTTAAGAATTCTTGAGATTTTCATGATGCTAATAATAAAAATATAAGTCAATCTAAAAGCAATATTTAACTTAAGCACTGATCCTTCTCTTTAATTACAGCACACAATATGTCACGAGAGTAAAGAATAATTTTAGTTAAAATATTTAGTCTTAGGATATCCCTACATTTATTATTAATTAACCTATTTTTCTACATAACCATTTCTATCAGAATATCTTCCACTTGTTAAGGATAGTTCTTTACTATAGATAAAGGCTTTACTATTTATTAAAAATACATTAATTGCAATGTTACTACAATTAACTAAATCACTGATCTGTCTCTTTTCATCACAGCATTAACACAATTTATCAGATATGGTTTGGTTAAAAAGAGAAAGAGGAAGCGTTGTTGTAAGATAAAATAGTTCTACTCTGTTAATTTTGTGCCAATTTTAGAATCAATCATTGGACATCATTGAGATTTTACAGAAATAAATTCTACTTACCTAATTTGCAATTATTTGTAGTAGTTAAAGTATAAGCATCTTGATCATAGTCATTGGTTAGGGTGAGGTCAGCTCCGTGGATGAGGAGTTCATTGCAGGTGTAAGGGAAATCAGCAGCGGCTGCGTACATTAGAGCTGTGCTACCAGACTGAAATTATAGAGTATTTAAGGCAACATTTAACACAATAGAACACAAGGTATCAAATACATAATTATTTTATATTAAGATCTATAATAAGTATATTTGCAAAGTTGATTTTCAAGTAGTGTTGTGTTAACTTGGTTCAGGACCCTGAGGGCATTCTCTGCATTCAAATTTTGGTGGTCCTCTAATGGTTTCTATTTTTCGTAGAGTATATAAATATATATACTTGAACAGCAAAAGCAAACATTTTGTACCAAACTTGTATTAGAACTAAGAAATGTTTCTTAGTATAGAAATCTGTTCACCGCATGCCCCTACGGTCATGGGAATGATCACACTTTAAACTTGAGGTTTACAGAATTTCACAAGTCATTTTCATATCCCAGATTAACAATTTTTAAAAGAAATAAAGTGTATAAAAAATATAAAATGTATTTTAATATTAACCACCACATTTAATACCACCTTTAGTATCTTGCCAAACCTGGAGAGGTTATGGAGAAGAAATCACAAAAAAATATCCATAATAGCTCTTTATAAGATTAACACCATTATAAAGGAATGTTTTGCCATATTTAGATTAAAGAAGACATATTATTGTACTAGCAGACCAGCCAAGTGTTGCTGTGGCTAAAGTTTTTGTTATATTACATAGTAGCAAACAATTCAAGGAAAACGGTAGGAGAACACCAGTCATGGGGACCACCATGCTTTTTTGGTGGTTATATCATTAAATTGTAGCTTATGTGAAATGTTGGTACTTTCAACACAGTGCAATGTGTTAGAATTGTGACTATCAAATAATAAACAAATATTTTGCAATAAAATAATATTGCGGGTATAAATTGAGATGTAAGCTATCCTATCTTTTAAGTTGGATCAAACTACACACGGTGTGCATATTTGATTGATATCGGTTCAGTAGTTTAGGAGTCCATCGCGGACAAACAACGTGGCACGTAATTAATATATATTAAGATAAAGATCTTGTAGAAGCATGGGTCAAAACATCTATATTTAATATATAACATTGTACATTAAAATTTGTGGCCCTTACATCATCCTGTATGTCAGCATCAGCTCCTTCACTCAAGAGAAATTTGACAACCTCATGATGTCCACCAGCCGCCGCCAGATGTAATGCTGTCTCACCTTCAGGGCCCCGCATGTTAACATTAGCACCACACCTGAAAATACATAAGATGCTACAGCTTATTAATCTACAAAATTCTAAATGACTATATAACACACTAACATTACTTTCACTAAAATGAATCAAATTCAGACAGTTCACGACGCCCTCAAAATGTAATTGTACCTAAGTTTAGAACCAATAACAGACTTAGGTAAAAAAACATTAAGCGTTAGAGAGTGCTGCGGTAATAGACTTCCACAAAATATAAAAAGTGCAGACAGCCTGGCAATATTTAAATTAAGACTAAAAGACCATCTCTTGAGTGATCCCAGTTACCTACGTAAATGAAAGTCCACCCAAGTTCTAGTATATAAGCTCTCATGTAAGTGACTATTGTCTGTTATGAGAATAAATGTCTTTAAACCTAAATTCTGTTAATTACATAGGTAGATGCTAAAAATACTTACCATACCATACAAACAAATTTGTATTTTGTTATTGATTTATTTATAGGTAAGTAAGTATTAAATAATTCATATACTTTTACTCCCAAAAACAAACAATTGTTTTCCTAGGAATCCAATAGGGATCTATGGTTCTAAGTCAAAGTACATATACGGTCAAGGTGTATATTACAAAATAGTAAATTAATAACCTGTTGCTTATACATACAAGTTTTTTTTTATAATACATACAAGTTTTAAAATAAGTATGTTTCCCTCTAAATCTATTTTTTAATCATATAATAATTTTCAATAAAAACCAACAATTTAAATTCATTAAAGAATAAATATATATTATAAAAATAATAAAACCTTAAAGGTAACAATTCTTCTCTAGTAATATGCTTGAAAACCAAAATAATTTTAGAAAAATGCATATCATACTCAAAATAAATTAAGGTTAAAATAATTAAATAAGCAAGGCTAACCAATGTTTGGAGCTTATTATACAATGAAGTTAGTTAATTTGCATACAATAACAAATTCAACATCATATACCTTTTGCCTTTGTGTTTAATAATCATGTTCATAACATAAAAACATTGACACATTTGGTACCCTGACTAGCTCTTTCTTAAAATAAAAGAACAATTACAGTAAAACAAAAGATGATATTCACAAATATTATAAGATTTCAATTTAAGAGTGAAAACAATAGACAAAGAAATTACAAAGAACAAAGGGTTACTTACCAAACAAGGTCCTGGCAACTATTTAATTGTCCATAGCTAGCGGCCCAGTGCAGGGCGGTGAGGCCATGCTCGTCCGTGGTATCGACATATTGCTCCAGCTTCACGTCCTCGCGGGATATCTCGCCGCGGCCAGCCTTCGCGTGAAAGCTACAATCGGGCTGAGGCAGCTCCGGAACTCGCGCCTGCGTGTTACCTACAATGACGACCTTGAACACTTCACAACTTATTCAAATCCTTCGAAATAGATAATCGATAGTAATGTCTAATACGGTAGAATAAGACAGATATAAGTTCACCTCTCTGTAAATTGGTGAGCGCAGTACACTGTACTGATTTGTACGGCGTAAATGCACTCTTTCTGACTCCATTCAAATTGGGCGCCCACCGTTGATATCCACCGCTGCCACCTTTGCTACTATCTTCACTACCAGAATCAAATTCAAATTTAATGGTTTCCATGCTCTCTTGTTTGATATCGATATTTTTTTCTTCATTTTTAACACAAACACCTTCTTCCATTGCTGCTTATCAATGGAACAAAGTTAATTGAAAAATACAATATACACTCTTATTAATTAAAATAATTTTTACGAAACGTCTACTACACAAGTCACAGTTCTAAAAAACAAACAATGAAACATATATACAACTGACAATTGACATTCACGGAGTACGGACCACAGCCGATAAAATCTCTATCTCCAGAGATTCCAATCACAACCCCAATTTGCATATGAACGACTATGATGGTGTCGATAGTGTAGTAACGATCGATAAATGTATAGCTTTATAAAGATATACTTCTGTTAAGGCTTTGAAAGGCACAATCAACAAAATGTATTAATATTTCCTTCCCATAGATGCTATAAGATCTATAGGTAGTTTGATTAGGTACAATCATAAAAAAAAACTTCCCTTCTGTGGTCATTTATGTAAATTATTAATAATTTCACAGAAGTCATTTTAAGTTACATTTAGGGGCCTCATAGCCTAGCGGTCTTATTAAGTGGCAGCTAGGTGAGGGGTACCGGGTTCGATTCCCGGTTCGAGGGTAAGTTTTAATTTAATTTAAATTTGTTCTCAGCCTTTGGGAGGGTTTCGCGGTACCGGGTGAGTGCTTAAACCGTACATGGAGGACACGGTCGAATTTATAAGGCAAGCACGAATTATAAAAATCTTATACTTGACGCTGGCTAATGCACAAACCGTGACAGAGCCATAGAAAAAAGTTACATTTGTCACTGTTAAAAATGTCAAACAAAAATTTAAATTTGTTCCGTATAGCCGTAACTGTAACAGTCGTCAGTGTATTCAAAAAATAATTACTATTACAACAAATCAGCAATAATTGTTTATTGATTGATATATTTAGTATAAGCTAATATATTTAATTTCAAAAGTTAATAGACTATTTAAAAATGTCTCAGGTACAACAATTAGAGACCAAATTACAAAACGAACTAGTAACAATGAATCAACTGTCACAGTTGATGTAAGTATAAAACTTTCATTTAATAATTTGTATAAACATTATTACTAATAATAATTCATGATCGGTAGTATATTACTTTTTATGATTTAGAATGTCGGAGTTGAAGCAGATTACAGTATTAACAAATCCCGGGGGAGAATTGGAGGATAACGTGAGAAAGGTACATGTTCAATTATGTGAAGAAATTTAAACTTGATTTAATCAAGTTTTTGAAAATACGCATTCCGTATCGTTTTGTTGATTTAGTCAAAAATCACATTTATAAAAATAAGTGTATAACTAACATTATTTTTGTTGCTGCAGCATTATTATCGGATTGATAATATTAGTATTATCTTCCAAGTAATTGCACAAATACATTTAGTCTTTCTTTTTTTTTAATGTTATTTATATGAAATGTTCGTAGATAATTAAATAATGACACTATTTGCATTAAAATTACCAAAAAAAGCCTTTTGTTTAACTTTGCTAAAAGTACCATGCTTTATATGTACAGCACAACTAATTTAATTTCTTAATATTATAAAAATAATATACATCTAAAAATAGGTATATTTAAAATAAATCTATACTACACCTAAAGCTAAATTTTTATTCCCGGTGGTCATCACTACTTTCCTATATAAAATTACTGTTTGTAAATTGATTATCTAAGCACAAAATTAAATAGCTATATTTAAGAACTTTTAAATCTTATAGTAGGCAAATAGGAGATCAGCCTCCAGTGCCACACACGCCGTCAACTTTTTGGGTCTAAGATATGTCGGTTTCCTCACTATGATTTCCTTCACCATTCGAGCAAATGTTAAATGTGCACATAGAAAGAAAGTCCATTCGTGCACAGCCGGGGATCGAACCTACAACCTCCGGTATGAGAGTCGCACGCTGAAGCCACTAGGCCAACACTGCTCAACATTTCAATATGCTGACTTTATTGAGAAGTACATATTTCTTTTTTTTCAGAATGTTTCTCTTATGAAGGAGTTGGCTACAATAAAAAGTATTAATTTATCAAGTATTCCACCTTTTGATCGGTTGGCTCAAAATAATTTAGATTCTAATCAAAACTTAAGTTTATAATAAGTACATATATTGTTTTTAGTTTGAATAATAAATAATTTCCTTCTACTTTTATTTACTTTAGTTTGTATATTTAAAAAAAACAAATATTTTTTATATACAAATTTAATTTCTATTATAAATAAAATAACCCTTTTGGATAGCTTGGCTTAATCTATACAAATATGATTCACAAGGTATTTAGGTTTAAAATCGAAGTTCCACTTTGCTTAATTTTTTAATGTTATGTTCCAGACAAAAAAATACAAAATTAGAAATAGACAAAGTTTGCTTAAAGTTTAGACCATTACCCACTATTGTTACATTTTGAAGAAGTAACTAAGATTCTTAACATATATCTCTCATTCATATACTTAACAATTTATACAATTAAAATATGTATATATTGTGACATAATCCGGGACCTAGATGGAAACTAGTTCACTACTACTATGCATCAAAATTCGTAACGCATTGAGCAAAGCATAAGGAAGTCATCAAAAAATGCTTTTTGCGCTTACGTGTTGAACACATAAAAGATTGGAGTCGCATCTAGGTGATTGGTCCAAATATCGAAATAACAGTTGAAGCAATATAGCTGTAATATTTTTTCCAGAAAACTTCTCGAAAAATGTAACCGAAAACGCTCAACTCTAACGACATTTAACTTATACGAAATTGTTTTACATCTTAAACATATTACATGGTAACAGCTTATGGACTAGATACAACAACCTAAACTTGGTCTAATCAATGTTGAAAGATAGCTGATTTTTCTTTGAACCTCTGTTTCCTTACAGCCTTTTCTTCTGCCTCGCGACGTTTTTCTTCCTGTTCTTGTATTATTTCGTCGTGGAACTTGTTAGTTTTAGCTAGTTCCTCAATTTTAGCTTCGAAGAAATTTTTCGCCCCGTTGACACCGACTTGGTCCACGTTTATTTCGGTGAGTCTCGCGAATGCTTCTAACCCTGAATCTGATTCCAGTTCTCCTGCCCTCGCTTTTCTGTAAACAATTAAAATAGTTTAATGTTTAGTATTTCATCTATCTATAGAAGTTTTTGCTTGGATCATTTATTATTTGCTGGTATAACTTAGCAGTTAGCACCTTCGCGCTAAAGTCATCGAATAAAACTCATGACGCAGGAATCAAAGAAATTAATCAAATCTTTAATACAAACGTTACGATTGATATTGATAAAATAAACTGAGAGACTCATACTCCAACCGCTAGGTTAGATAAAACTCCTAAAAACTAGATTGCGTCTACAAATTCCAATAAAGCTGTATTGATTGTTTCGCCTCGTCAGACCCAGACAAGTCTGGGGAATGGCGCCTTATAAGGTCTAAACTCGGACACTCTTGATATTCTTGAAAAACCTAACCAGTATTTAATGTACTTTGTACTTACTACTATATTATACGGTTACGTGAAATAATGGCTGACAGGATGAAGATTTCTATCCTTATTTAATAATTCATTATTTAGAGAACAACGATTATATTAGAAACTTTAATAATTGATGCTATTATCGCCTTCAGAACTAATCTATGGATAGGAGTGTTTTTTCGTCTTGATAATATTTTGATCGTTCCTTCCAAGAACCCGATTCTTTTGTTATTTATTTACACTTTGTTGCTTTATGATATAAAAATTTAACAAAATTACAAGTAAAGGAAAGGCAACTGGCGGCCTTATCGCTTTCGAGCGATCTCTTCCCGGCAACCACTGTGAGAAAAGTAAAAAGAAAATGTATTAAATTACATAAGGTAGGCAAAAAGTGCAAAAATACATGTATTCCATATACTTATAAAGAAAAAGAAACTAAACAGGAACCAAAAAAAAACAAACTAAACTAATAAAGGATACATTAAAAAAAATTATAATAATAATAATAAAAAGTGCACATGAATCATTTTAAGATCAGTCTCACGTCAGTTAGTAGGTATTATTAAAACTAGGGATACTGTGGACAGGTAATGTTTGTACAGAATTGTTTTATGTTATAATATGGTGATTTTATTATTAGAAATATACACGAGTATGATAAAACCTTGATACTTTTCTAGATCTTAGCCCATAGCGACATCGGATCTACTGAACTCACCTATATATAAGTAAGAACTCTCTAAAACTAATTCTGTTGTCGCAATCTTCGTCTACTTCTGAAATCATAGCTTTTAATCCAAGGTGTGTTTGAGGAGCCCCCAAACGTTCCATCATGCGTTTTACTTCATTCAAGTCTAGATAGCCATCGCGCCCTTCGTCAAATCTGAAAGAAAGGTAATTCAATATTAGATATTTATTGAAATGCAACTAAATAGTTTAATAAAATTAGATACATTAAAGTATTTTTCCTATGGAAAAAAAATCTCCAGGGAAACGATATCATATAACAATTTTGCTTAAAGATCAGAAATTTTATGCATTAAAAACCTGTTAGAAAATTAAATAATACCTATATTCTGCCTTTAAAGACTTTTTCCATTACTATATAATTATAACTTATTTCAACCAAGTCTTATGATTAATGTTAGAAAACCTATCACATATATTTATGATTATGCCAGGAGAGTTAATGCATATTTAAATAACATGGATAGGAAATACCTTAACATATAGACCGAAAGGTGATTATCAAGACTGATGTGAAATGTAATTGAGATGAGATTTAATACGGAATAAACCTTACTATGTTACTGTGAGTAAAAAAAACGTGTGTGCGTACAAAGTACACATGTCAGAAGTGAAACTTCTGTGGCAAAATAATCGTAACCGAAATATGTGACGGTAATTTTTTTTTCTAACGCCGATAAAGAAGTTTGACTTCAAAAAGCAACATGGCGCGTAACCGAAAAACGTGACAATTTTCTACAAATTTTTTCCCATACGTCGATAAAGAAGTTTCACTTCAATAACCTATACCTATTTGTCGAAATGGGATAAGATGATGATCTCAGACTAAGGAGTCTGGAATTTTACCTAATGTGAAAAATTACGCAAGCTAAAAATCTTTGTATCAGATCTGTAACGATCCTTTTTAGTTAATAAATATAGGTCGGAAAATGCTGATTAAAATGTTAGTAACTGGTTGATATAAGGTCATTCTAGATTTCTTGTAAGATAATTGAACACCAGCGACCTGGTTTCGCACGGGAAACCCGTAAACCTTGGAAAATTATGCATCTAAAACTTCCTCATTAATAATTCTTTATATTAGTGTAACGCGCAATAAACTCCGTGCAGTAGTTTATGAGTTTATCTCGAACAGACAGACGCGGGGGAGGATATATAAATGTTAGATAGTATATGCTATAAATGAGAGGGCATTAAACCGTTTTTTCTCTAATTTACTTTGCTCAACCCTTTTTAGGTCTGGGCCTCAGATACCTGTATCTGTTTCATGATCATTTGGTAATCTAATAAGCAAGTAGGTGATCAGCCTTCTGTGCCTGACGCACGCCGTTGACTAAGGCAAGCCGGATTCCTCACAATATTTTCCTTCGCCGTTCGAGCGAATGTTGAATGCGCACATAGAAAGAAAGTCCATTGCTGCACCAGTCGAGAAAATGTTAAATAGAAAGAAAGTCCATTGCTGCACAGCCGGGGATCGAACCTACGCCATAATAGAGTCGCACGCTGAAGCCACTAGGCCAACACTGCTCACTTACTTTGCTCTTCACTACCTTGAAAAAGACTTAAGTAAAGTTTTCGGGTTAATATATTACCTATTCACATAACGTTGCGTTATATAAGAATTTTCAAAATCGCTTCAGTAGTTACAAAGATTACCCAACAACCTCGCGAAATTTCTTATTAATAGTAGTAGGTATAGATTTGTAAAAGTAACGTTGAAAACTTCACAGACTGAACTGCTTGTGAAGCAAAACGTAAGACTACTCGAGAACCATTTTGTAGCATTGATTGTTCTTTTCTTTTATGTTCAGCATAGACAGACGTTTCACAAATTGCAAGCATTTCAATAAGACCGTTATACTTACGTAAGAGGTAACATATTTACGTCCCATGTGGAAAGTGGGTTACATACCAATCGTGTCATATGAATATAAAAAAATTATGCGTGTCACGTTATTCTAATACAATTGCGGCTATTAGCAATGTTGTAGAACGATACTTATTTTTAAAATACGTAATTATATATGAATCAGAGAAAGAGAACTTTATCTATGTAGAACTGCCGGTTAAAAGCCTTGAGGAAGGAGGAAGTGCCTCATACAAATTAAAATAACTTTAGTATGGTCGACAAAAACTCTTTAATATGAAACATGTATCATATTTAAAAATAATTGTGGACAATTGTCGTAGTTTCCGAAGATAAAACAAAGAACTTTTATCTGACGCTAGCGATCCCAAGCATATCCGCGAACGATAACGAACGGGGAAACAAATAAACTAAACATTTCTATAAATCAAAATCCACGTTTTCGAATTTAACCTATTCAGAGGTTTTATATCATAAATAAATTTCGGGTCTTTCTCAAAATTATCAATAATGTCAATAGTCATTTTATTTTATATATCTTATCAATTGTTGGAATACTTGTAAATTTCAATCTACTAGTTGATTGATAAACTTAATGGATGTTTAATATCAAATATGACACCAATGTTTCTTAGATAAATACTAATTGCTTTCTGAATTAAATAATTGTTTTGAGCGATGACCTGAAATTTATTTGTAATATTCACAACTCAGAGGGTAACATTCAGAATTCGAAGATGAAGAAAGCAGAAGGTTAAGCTGGCAACCGCTCGTGACTAATATATTTTGTTTTATCTTCGGAAACTACTGCACTTCTTGAGGGTTGTAAATTGGGATGGGAATCAAGTCTCAAGTTTTTACTATGTACCTTGCCTTGTGGCAGGCTCCCTTGCTTAAACAAAGGTACCACTACCAAATTCTATACTTTCGTCAACATGAATAAAAGTATTAATTTATTTAGTTAACCATAAGTCCATTGTGTTAGTTACAACACTGTTCTAAATATTGAATATATTGAAATTAATAACTACAGAAAATACCCACTTATTATCATGTAGGTGCTTATCTAAGTTGAGATCTGCTTAAATGAAAATCTGAATGACGGCCAAGATCACTTGACCTTAAATCAAAGCAAGCTACAAAAGACTTCACCTACCCTCCCACGTACACATTTTTAGTATAGGAGGGTTACATAATTCTTAACTCTAGGTATAATATTGTTGTTTCAATTTTAACCTTAAAAATGCTAGTAGGTATTGTTGTTTATATGATTCCAAATTAGCTGTAGTTTTGAAATTAAATTATCAAATTAATGTTAGTTACATTGTTCTTTAATATATACTTATATAGAATATTACAAATAAAATTACCTAGACGTTTTGTGAGGGATTCTTACGTGTACACAGGTGTACAAATATATGATTGGTAACGTCAAGGTAGGCTGTAGTTTACATAATTTAAGTTGGATCAAACTACACACGGTGTGCAAATTTGATTGATATCGGTTCGGTAGTTTAGTAGTCCATAGCGGACAAACAACGTGACACGTAATTTATATATATTAAGATTATTGACGTTCAAAAGTATAGAATTTGTTACCTATATGATAAATTCAAACGTAACATTGCGTTCGTATATCTAGTGCAAATAAGTCTCTTTTGTAAAGAAGTCAATGTATTCGATGTCAACATCCTATGCCCTATTCAAATTCATAATGACAAAGTGACCGCTTATTCTGAATGCAAATGCATTCTGCGGCAAACATAATGCAGACACCTCTATAGGGTTGCTACGATGATCTTTAATTAAAAGTCTGAAATAATTTTTGTTTATTTAATAAGTTCTTGCAGTATAATGAGTAAGTATCTAACTCAGTGCTATTGTGATGAAGACTATGCCATGATGTAATGTTAAATAAAAAAAAAGACAAGCAGCAGTGTTGGCTTAGTGGCTTCAGCGTGCGACTCTCATAGCTGAGGTCGTAGGTTCGATCCCCGGCTATAAACTACAAGCTCCCTTCTTATCAGAATGTCAAATCATAAAATGACTGCTTCACGGCTGATTTCAGCGCGACCGCCGCTGCAAAAACAGCTGTGTGAGTTCGAAAAGTGAGTTACAGAATCGCAGGACTGCTCTTACAAATCACTGCGATGACGTCATACCCTGAAAACTAACGAAGTTATTCTGGCCGCTTAGGATATCAAGACTTCTCGACGTTAGCTACTGGGGCCTTCGGGCCGGCTAGCAATTGGTTAGACTGGTCGAGGGATCTAACTTTAGGTTGGAAGAACAGTACATAATCCTTCCTCCACACGTTTATGGGATCTTAATTCGATGTTTTTTTTTGTTCTTTTGTTTATAACAGGGAAAATACTCCATAAACGTGTTTGCCACCATTACAATAATATGTCAATAGCTTCTGAGGTAGGTAGGTATAGGAGTATTTACAAGTAACAAAAGATAGAACGATGGCGCTGGGGGGCCAATATTTATATAAATCCAATAATAGACAGATGATATAATTAAATCGAAGGAGGAGGTTATCAATTTCAAGTGCAATTATTATTCTTTATTTGACCAATCACAGCCGTAGTTGTTTCTTTTGTTTTCACGTCCCTGGACCTGTAGTTCCTTATAGTATTAAAAATAGACGTATACCTTCCATTGCCTTTATAGTCAAAAGAATAACGGTAAGGAAAAAACATTCGGTTCTATATTTTATCATTTGCATTTATCGAACTTAATGAGGTTGGCTTACTGTATCTAAGATAAACCTTTATTTTAGGAAAATTTATCTTTTGACACGTTTATTAACTACTACTTAAAAAGAATGATACGAAAAATTTATGAATAGTAAGAATACATTTTTATGCAGAACGTAACAGCAGTAGACGTAATTAGAAGAACATATTTAAAACATTATTAGTTTCGTACGTATAAGGAAAATGCTTTAGTCGTGAATGAAAACTATTTTGTAAGGGATAGCACTATTGCAAACGTAGAAGTTGTTCTGAAATGTGTAGCATTAACAAGAATAATGAGAGAACCTTTTGTGTTTTCAATTCTTCTGTTCAGACTCACATTCACTCCGCTGCGTCTTGGTCTCCGAAACGAGTAACTTCTAGACCTATGTCACATCCTGCCAATTGTTAACTAATCAGTCTTAATTCTAGTTATGTTCATACACACGCAGTTTGCTCATTAATTAAATGTTATAGATAAACCCAACAAATCAGCTTTGCAAAGGACAACAACTATTTAGAAATTGA